CCCAAAATAAAAATAATTCTTATTCACATTCTTGATTAGAAAAACTGTAAATATATTGACTTGTTTTAGTAATTTTTAAGGAATCAATCTAAAAAAATCGGTGACCCTGTCCTTGAAACCTTTTGTTATACATTTTTTTCCAAAAAAAATGCCCCCCCTAATGAGAAGGTTAAGGTAATACTAAGAAGGCAATCAAGGAGAAAGAAAATGAAATGATGTAAACGAGAAAGAAAAAGATCAGAAGAAGAAGAAGAAAAAAAAAAGAGTTATTATTTCATATGGCAAAATCCAGGTTAAGAGAGAGATCAGAGGTGCATTATTTGCCGAGGAGGCCGGTAACATATATATATATATATATATGAAACCACAAAACCCTAAATACATATTAAAAAAAAAAAAGGAAAATTAAAAGAAGAAATTAAAGGAAAGATATTATACTTCCCTCTAAAAAGAAAATAAAAAGAAAATAATAATAAAAAAAAGGAAGATATTATACCTCCAAATTATAACCAAAGACCGCAGTAATAAGATAGTCCCACCAAAATAAGACACGGGTATGTATAAAGAAGGAAGATTGGTCCAGTCGATAATTGAATTATTGCTTTTACAGTTTACCAATTTGGAGTGCGTATGCTTTTTTTTCCTTTTCTTTTTTTGATCGCAAAGATTTGAACTGACGGTGGGGTGTTGATTTGGTGTAATGGGAAAAAAAGCTAGCGTTTCATGTTGGTCGAGAGGCCACCAATGAATGAGATCGAATTACCGAATTGTGTGTGACTGTATGTGAAAGAGATGCACAGGTGGTCCCAATATATATATATATATATATATATGCTAGATTTTTGGTGCGTGTGATGTACGTGATTGTAGTAAAATTCAATTTAAATGACAAATCTGAAGTTTCAATTCATTTTGATATTTTGCTATATGCGTAGATGATAATCACTTATTCATAAACTTTTTTTGCCATATTAGTAATTTAATTTTATATTTTTGTAATATGGTTGTATATTTATTTATCTAAATTAATGTTGAATTTTGACGAATTTTCTTCTTTATTAACAAGTCTCAGTAAATTTACTGTAAATCAATGATGTTATTCAATCTCAAGAATTTTCCAAATGAGCGGGAAAAATTTCTAAATTTTACTAGGAGCAACCTTACTTTTATATATATCATTTGTATTAATAGAGGAAACTAGCTCGAACCCCCGATTTTGCCTTTCTGGAGTCTCCCTAACGGAATTGTTTAGGAAAACTAATAGTAACGGAGACGCGGTGATTTGTACAGCTTAGTTATATTAATAGGTAACAATTTAGTTATATTAATAAGCAATAACTTATTTAAAATAAATTGAAGAAAAAATTAAAACAAGAATAGATGCATTCCACAACATATGCACAAGTACACAACTTACACATACAACTTAGAAAACTTATTTACAAAACTTGGTTCCATTAACGAGCAAAAAAATAGGAAAAAAAATGTTTTTCATGTAATTTTACAATGAAGTTAGACAGCTTAAAGACTTATTTGCATAGCTTATTTAAAATAAGCTGAAGAAAAAAACTTAACCTCTGGTGCGTACATCGCCACCAACATTACCATCACCAAACAGTTCTTCATATTTTTATGTTTTGGTTTTCATGATTGTTAGGTCACAACGGATATGAATGACAAAATGAGTGTAATCAAAGTCGCATGTGTGTGTGGTTGCGTTTGTGTGTGATTATGTGTATCTGCGCCTGTGGTGAAGCTTCGATGATGGCAGCGGCAGAGGCGAGGGTTGAACAAATTTGACAAAGTGTAATGGGGTTGGACGAAATTTGACGGGAAACATTTAAGGTAGAGCGATGAAGGCGAGCGTGAAAAACAAAAGACTTTTAGCAAACTGCTAAAGTTGGTATGTCCTGATTTGAAAGATAATAGACGTTCACGGGGTCTTTAGCAAATTAGCCCTTGTTAATATTTAGGGTAAATTCCACTTTTCCCTTATACTTTAGCTCAATATCACTTTACCCTTTCTACCGATGCAGAACGGAAGCACGATAAAAAAATATTTTTTACGAATTAATCCTATAGAACAAAATAATATTCTGAATCCACCGAAAACTCTGGAATCCACCAGAAAATAGAGAAAACTATAAAGATTTTATTAAAATTCGAATTTTTTCTCAAAATAAAGTCCTGATGCTGCTATATATACTAATGAAACTGAAAACCCTTATTAAATTAAGAAAATACTAAAATTACCAAAAACGGCAAAAACGAGTTAGAGTCTGATTCTAATAGATCACTTAATTATGGGAACAACCCAATTTACGAAATCCTAATACGATTTTTCTATGATTTGATATTAATTTATAAAACTTGCCTAAAATAGCAAAAACGAACTTTTATGAGTCTAAACGACGTTGGATTGCCGAAATTTGACGTGATTCATGAGCTTTTGCTCATGAGTTTTGTTCCTTGCACCGTTTCACTTGAGATAGAGTTCGTTTCATACTAAAATGCAATTTGATTTCGTCGAAAACCATTATTTTTCCATAATTTCTTTCGATATCTCCACCAATGCCTATTAATAACTCTTCTCCGAATTAAATAGTTATTTTGCAATTCGAATCCAATTTGACGTTCCTTATCATCTACGCTCGATTGCATTGATTTGGCCCATGTACTTGAAAAATTGTCCCACTGTGGCCTTCGTCGTTTGTTATCACACCTTTGACCTTAACATTGTTTGATATAAGTCTGAAAATTACAAAAAAAACCAGCCCTCCCATTATAAATAATTATTAAAAAAAACAAAAAAAAATATACATATAAATTGTGGTTGGCGTCGTTGATTATGTTTTCTCATTGTCTTGAATTTATTATTATTATTATTATTATTTTAATAATTATTTAAACTGAGAGAAGTGGTGTTTTTGTAATTTCCGAGCTTAGATCAAACGGTGTTAAGGTCAAATATTTGAAAACTAATAACAAGGGCCACATTGAGACAATCGAGAGTAGAAGAGGGTAAAGTGATAGCGAACCAAAACACAAAGGAAAAGTGGAATTTACACTAATATTTATTAATAGGATGGACTCTTTCCTGTTTCTTTGTTTTTTATTATTTTCATTATGTGTGTGTGTGTTTTTTTTTGTGGTGAAATGGGTAGCCAGCTGTATATGTCTCTTGGGGTTGGTAATTGCTTCGGTATATTCGGTGCAACAAGGACAAAGAAATCAATATTATTCTCTAAAAAAAAACAAATCAATATTTACCTATGGGAGTCAATTAATTGCACGTCGGCCTGAATATCGTTAGAGTGAAACTCCCAAGTATAAAAATAATCTAGAAATCAAGATCGATGAAATTTTCGGAATTTGGAAAATTACATAAGTTCTAAGATTTTAAAGAAGTTTCTCCAATTTTTTTTTAGGGATTATTTTGATGAGCGCTCATTTCGAAATTATATATGACTAACTATCATGCGGATTACGCACTAGTGCAAACCATCTCTATTTCAATAATAATTTGACATGCCCCATTGACCACGCAGAAGTACCTAAAATGTCATTTTAAAATAAGTTTCAAACCCTATGGCCTTACAAGTTTATGTAAATAATTGCCTTTTAGCCTCATGAAATTGTTAATTAATTACAACACATTCGATTTTATAATTTATACTAACCAAACTAGATAAAATCATCTCAATTTATTTACGAGTGTAAATAACATAAAACTTCTGTGTTAAGATAAATTTGCACCAAATTTATGTGATTTTTTTTATTGCGTAAAACTCTCATTTTTCATGAATGTAAAACTCACTACTACAGAGGGGATTTTATGCAATTTTCTTTTAACATAAGAGGATTTGGTGCATAATTTTGCAATAAAAATGGTCTATATAAAATTAATTTATTCATTTAACATTCAAATTATTTTCTTAAATTATATCCCGTCGTCCTTATTCATGACGTCTTACTTTTAATGCTTATCTAGTTATCTTTACATTCTTGTCCTTTAGTTATTTCATAATGGTATATAGTTATTTGGTCAATTATTTTTCTAGGTGATACAGTCTTGACACTTGACAGGGTTGGAAGTTCAGTATATTATTATTATTATTATTATTATTATTATTATTATTATTATTATTATTATTATTATTATTATTATTATTATTATTATTATACAAGGTATGCACTGTGCAGCAGAGTATAAGTAATCATGTAGCAAGGCATGAAGCATCTATATATATATAAAGAATATAAACATGAAATGAAACTCATTCTACAAACTTTATTTTCGAATATCTGTATGAAATTTGGTCCTCAAAAAGGCTCTCGAATCCCACTTAACTAAGCATGGTGGTAGAAAGTCATTTGGAATCCCAATAATTTTTTTCTTTTTTTCTTTTTCTTTTTTACTTGATAGGACATTTGTTTGGACAATCTTATATATCTGAGTGTAAATTACAACCACCACCCCTGATGTATGATTAAATTACAAAAAATCCCTCTTGTTTGGGTAATTACAATCACACTTCAACTTTAAATTTTTTTACACGTACACACTTGCGGATTTAAATTTAGTGAATATTCTCATTTTTTTTTACCCATTTTATGCCATTTGAACTCCACATTTTGAAGCAAGATGATCATAAGATGTGTTTTTTGGCTTGTATATAACAAATTTTAGTGCATTAGAAACTGTATTTTTGCACAAAACGAATACAAAGTAGAGAACATTCCACGAAATCTAGATGATTATGTTGAATTTGACACCATAAGAGTACAAGCGTAAGAAGATTCATAGTTGAGGGAATAGATGTAATTATCTAAACATGGTTTTTTTTTTGTAATTGACCATAACTCATGAGTGGTTGTAATTTACGCGATATTTTAATGGTATATATGTAAATAGAGGGGTTAATTATAGTAATATATATTTGAGTTAGATTAATCTATTTAGAATTTAAGGATTTATATATAGGCGAGGGTTTGTGACTATTGCATGGATGTTGTCAAATATTAAATCTTTTCAACATTCTGCCAATTAATACTTGATATTGATGCTATCACTTTATGCTTCATAAAATGGTGGAGAATATTAGGATCTAATCCTAGAAGACTAAGTTTCATGAATAGCATGCATGATATCATTTTTAAAAGATGGATATTTTTATGTTATAACATGAAGTTGTTTGTCTATACTCTGCTATTATTCCGATTTCCGAACTTCCGATCTCCGATTTTTCCGAATTTATTTAGAACGGAATCGAAATTGTATATAAAATTACCGAAAATTCTGATTTCAGATCTGATTTTAGTTCCGACTATTTCAATTGCTTTTAGAAATTTATAATATAATTTATTATATATTTTGAAAAGGATAAATATCAAATGGTCAAGTAAATTAAAACCTTGGAAAATATTAATTGATATAAAAAACTCTCACTAATAGAAAAATGACTCTTAATTAATACGAATTTTTTTACTACCGTAAAAGGCCGTAACAAAAGGTACATTTTACTATGTAACAATCTCGGAGTCGTAGTAAATATTAAAATTTACCGTAGCAAAAAAGTATTTGCTACGACTATTTACCGTAGCAAAGTTTTTGTCACGCCAGTATATGCTACGGGGCAAATTCGTAGCAAAAATATTTTTCCTACGAATTTGATATCTTAATTAGCAACAGTTAATGGTCGTAGTACGTAAAAAACCATTTTTCTATTAAAGTTTGTTGCATTTTTTCTAATCAGAAAATCTCATTTCAAATCATCCGGTATATGCTACGGGTCAAATTCGTAGCAAAAATATTTTTACTACGAATTTGATATCTTTTGCATCGGTTAATGGTCGTAGTAAAAAACCATTTTTCTATTAAAGTCTCTTGCATTTTTTCTAATTATAAAATCTCATTTCAAATCCTACTTTTGGTTTTATTTATTAAATTTTGTCAAAATCTCTTCTGAATTTTCTTGCAAAAAAGTTTGAAAAAGACATGAAAATATTGTAAAAATTCTCATTATATATGAATTTTGAACAAGAGATTATAAACTAGTCTAATTTTCGAAATTTCGCCGATTCCAAGGCATTTTGAATTCGGAATGAACTATTGCATTCCAATTTTTTTATAGTGGAAATTGGAACCAACATTTTACAATCGAAAAAAATCATTCTCGATTCATTCCGTCGATTTTCACCCCTATTTTATGGATCAGAAACTCTTTATTGAAAGATTCCGTTAATGCAAAGGAAACAAAAACTATATACTAGTGACCCAGATTTCAAAACGCTATTATATATATATATATATATATATATATATATATATATATATATATATATATATATATATATATTTATATTGGATAAAATATTCTAAAATTTGCACAGGATAAAAAAAAAATGGATAAAAAATAGTAATATATATTTATTAACAATTACAATATTTTTTGCTTCAAATAGACCACCCATCATAGTTTTCATTGTATTTTGTTTCAACTATAGTTATTACAAATTTTCCAAAATATTTTATATTCTAAAATATTTGGTATGCATATATAGTAATATATTCAAAAAAAAAAAAAAAAAAAATCAAAAAATCCAAATTCCTTTTGCCCCCCAGGAGCTGATGATCCATAGAGCTTGTCTCAGAAGCATTGCATTTTGAGTGTCTGGGTCCATGCAAATCCTTCAGCCCAACTACTTCCATGTCCAAGGTCTGATAAAACTAATATACATTTGAAACATATACATCAATTAACAGAGACTGGACGTTGCATTTACATTTTGTTATAGAAAAAATTGCTTACACTAAGAAATTTTTCGAATAACCGGGAAAAAAGAGATTATTTCTGCACGGGAATCTCCAAAAAAGATATGTGCTCGATGTCCATAGATGCCGATCGTTTATAAACCCCAAAAGAAAAATGAAAACTGAAAAAGAAGTGCGGTGAGAGTGAGGAAGAAGACGTGATCGATGAGATTTTTACAGTTGGTCGAAGCTCGAGAGAAGGTGGAGCGAAGGGAAACATAAGAGAAAATGCTACGTGTCAAGGAATTTATCCCAAAAAAATCTAGGGTTTCTCCAAATCGTAGCCAACGTTATTCCTTTTATAAATAAGATGTCCAATGGGGTTGTTTTACACTTTCTTATATGGAGAATTATTTATGTCTCTTCCATTATTTACAGTTGCTATCTTCGTCTATAATTATGATTGCTCAATCAATGACCTCAATTTACAATTTTTCCTTTATCTTCTTATGGACGTTATTTTCGGATCTCATCCTTCAACGATCATGAGATCAGTTCGCCATTCTTTGTGTTTTCTCTTCTCACTCCTTCCTGCGCCAAGAGATGTTGGGCGAGCTCTCGTGTGATGACCTCTACCGAGCGATCATAATTCATGGGAACGATATATCTCTTGGCTCATCTTATCGAGACCCTTCGGACGACCTCACCTGGCCCCCGTTACTCTCTTTGCCTAGTTGGGCCTTCGGTACGGCCCACTATGCCCTGAAGGTTGGGATACAAGTGAAATATGATCCCATCAGGGTCCAAGTCCTAGTGAAGGATCCCAAAATAGGGCATTGGTTGATGGCAGCGTTGAAAGCTTATTTTTCTGTGTCCGACCATCAAATTGGCGGTTGGTCCATTTGGGTTTCTGTGTCCGACCATCAAATTGGCGGTTGGTCCATTTGGGGCCTCGTTTAGGGCCTCCGTGGTAGTTGCCCTAAACTCTCTGTTTGAGTTGCCCTAAGCTCTTATTCCATATTTTCATGTTTAAAGCAAATTTTGTTGTTGTTTTTTTTTTTTTTTCATATTTCTTGATTCTCCATCAGCCTATTGTCAAAAACAGGCATAGAAATTAAACACTCTTGTTTGAACTCCATAAACGAACCTCAACATTGAATCTCAAACTCGTAAAATCACCTCGAAAATTATTTAAAAGAAAAGAAAAAAGACACAACGACAGTTGATTTCACATAGCAGATACTATTTCGACACTCGATACGCTCACAAACCTACAACCGAAAAAACAAGAGTCCAGATTGATTGCCTTTTACACTAATTCAAGTAAACACACCAAAAAGAAAAAAAAAAGGGTAAATATTCCAAAAGCATTGGTGTCGATTTTCACTTAATTAAGTTGTACAATGATGACACTAATGTTGTCTTTGCTTCCATTGGCGATCGCCAGCTCAGCAAGCAAAGTAGCTGCCACAGAAGCACCAGCCTGTCTACTATTATGGCCGCTCGTCAGACATTGCTTCACAAGCTCGCATGCAACTTCATTACACACAACATTAAACAAACCGTCGGTTGCTATTATCAAAAATTCGTCGGAATCCGAATGTTTTACTACGGTCACTTCAGGCACTGGGGTTACATAAGGTTTCAAATAATGATCACCTGCCAAACAAAGTGTATTATTTAATGATCGAGGATTTTGTTTATGTAATTTGAAATATTAATATATATATAATTGATATATTACACACCCAAGGATCTTGAAGTGGCAAGAACTCCTTGGACGCGCCACCCGTTCCGATTTGTGACGCTTCCTCCAGCAGCTTCTATCCTCTGTTTCTCATCTTGTCTATCAGGCTTGATGATTTCCATTAACAATTTTTATATTTATTATTAAAGTCATGTTTCGTGAAGAAGCTGAACATAAAATAAATTGGGCTAGTTCTGCTAAATTAATTTTTTTTTTAAATGATTGAAAATTAAACCCTTGTGAAGAATTAAGATATTTCAACAGTTCTCACTCTGTTCCTTAATAAGGGTATAAATTAGAAATTAAATAATTAATGCAGTATTGGAAATCCTTAATAAGTGTATAAACTGGAAATTAAGTAATCAATCTATTGAAAATGTAAAGCGAGAAGTAATATGTAATTTTTTTTTTTTTAAAGACAGTTATTATGAGAGTAACAGAAAGCAAAGCGGTTAACGCGTCACCTTATGGTCAGTCGATATGGGGACTACCGCTCCGCCGCGATAAAGCACCGCCCTCGAGTCCCCGCAGTTAGCAACCACCACCTCCGCCTTTCCCACCAGCACAACGACCGCCGTTGATCCCATCCTCCAATACAGCTGCTCAGCCTCTCCGTGCGCCACCTCATCCGAAAACTCTTGATCCATATCACCAAAACAATCCACCATCACCTTCTCCCAATCAAAACCCCGCTCCTCCTCCTCCTCCACCTCCGGCAGCTTTCTCGCCTTCTCCATATGCGCCGCGAGGCACTTGTGCATAGTCTCCCCGCACTTCTCCGCCACCTTAGCTCCGCCGTGCCCGTCGTAAACCGCGAAAAAATAGTACTCTCCGGCGAACCACCCGGGCGGCGCAACCGTCACCGCATCCTCCATCGCCCTCCGCCGCCCCATCATCGAAACGTGCCCGTAAACCAATTCGCCGGAACTGTCGCGAATGTCCTCGAGGTTTGACATCGCCGGCGGCCTGGGGATCAAATCGGCAGTTCTCAGCTTTAGAATATCCAGTCTTCTCCGACGAGATTTTCGTGTTTGCGTTGCGTGTGGCTTCTTCGGACTTCTCATTTCATGTTCAACTGCAGCATCTTTTTTGTGCCGGCGGCTAGTAAGAGAGAGAAAGTAGAGAGAGATGCGTGTATAATGAGCTCGCATATAGGGTATTATATAAGTAGGAAGGGGGAGAGACTAGAGAGAGATGGACACGTGTAACAGAAGGCCGACTTGGCGGGAGATATTTGTGGAGTTTGCTTTCGATGGGAGAAGATGGAGTAACGGCGTTTGCAACGACGGAGGCTGCCGTTTTCTTTTGGTAAATTAAGGGTAACGTGGACGTTTCCGATGCACGGAAACCGTCTATTTTTAGCCCGACAAAATCACGTTTGTTCCTATATTTAATCTTTTGTAGGCCGCAGGTTTTGCGGTTTCATAAGGTATATATCCCATCTTTGTTCTATCATGGTCTCGAAGGGTTGCTATTCCTTCTCTCACGACTCTAAATTTAGACTTTTTGACTATACTAAGTAACATTTATTTTTAGTATTTAATACATTATTATTATTATTATTATTATTATTATTATTATTATTATTATTATTATTATTATTATTATTATTATTATTATTATTATTATTATTATTATTATTATTATTATTATTTATTAATTAGAAAAGGCTCACGAACACAAGTAAAACGAGTTCGAGCTCATGAGACTTTTGTCGAGTCAGCTCATTACTCATCAGGTTCAATAAACCGACTCAACTCATTTAAACGCCTACCTAGCTCTATTTGGATGTGAGTGATTAATTCTTTGCATAATTTAACTTTCTGCATTTATTTTTTTGCAAATTGAATGAAATTTATAAGTTGCCAATTATACATTTAAAGAACAAATGATCAGAGCTTTACATATATGCATGGCAACATAACCCCTAGTACTATCTTATATACAATACCAGACAAATTAAAAACTCACACACATTACAACAAAAAGCGAAAAGTACTAGCCAAAGTGGAAAGCCTTTCGCTGTGCATACACATCCAGACGTGCAACCGATGATTGCAACAACTCGAACAAAACAAACAAACAAACAAACACACAGACAAATTACAAACATGGCTGCAGGGTAATAATTAAAAGTACAAATCAAACAGAAAATAAAAATAAAAGGCATTAGACATTGTCGATTTAATTTGATATGATCACTTATTCAGCTGCACAACGATGATGCTTATGTTGTCTCTGCTTCCCTTCGCAATTGCCAGCTCAGCCAAAAGAGTAGATGCATGAGAAGCACCGGCCTCGTGTCTACGGTTTCGGGTATTATTATCCAGACATCTCTTCACAACTTCGCATGCAGCCTCATTTGTAACAACATCGAATAAACCGTCGGTCGCTATTACTAGAAACTCGTCGGAATCGGATCGTCTTACGACACTCACCTCAGGCACCGAGGTTACGTAAGGTTTCAGATACTGATCACCTGCATGCCCAATTAATTTGTTATAACACAACAATATTAATATTTACTGTTGATTAATTTGTGAGATGAATAGAGTGTTTTTTTTTTTTTTAATTTATTTATTTTTATATCTAAGGATCTAGAAGTAGCAAGTACACCTTGGACACGCCAGCCGTTATAATTTATGACCTCGCCCCCACCAGCTTCTATCCTCTCTTTCTCATCTTCTCTATCGGGCTGACGTCATTAATATTTATTTATTACAATTAAACACATATTTATTATCAATTTTATATTCAAACATAAATAATAATAATAAGAGCAGTTTTATATATATATATATATATATATATATATATATATATATATATATATATATATATATATATACACGTAAAACCTTGTGATCTGTGGACATGGGGACTGGAACCCCGGCGTGACAAAGAACCGCCCTCGAATCCCCACAGTTCGAAACCACCATCTCCTCCTTACCCACCAGCACCACCGCCGCCGTCGATCCCATATTCTTGTAAGCGGCCGCGGCCGCCGGCCCATCGTCCCGCTGCTCAGGAGCCCCGTCGTTCCGGTCAAGCTCCTCGTCCATGCTGCTGAAACAGTCCACCATCACCTTCTCCCAGTCAATAGATCTCTCCTCCGGCAGCTTCTTCGCCTTCTCTATGTGCCTCGCGAGGCACGTGTGCATCTTCTCTCCGCACTTCTCCGCCACCTGATCCCCGCCGTGCCCGTCGTACACTGCGAAGAAGTAGTACTCCCCAGCCATCCACCCCGGCGGCGCCACCGTCACCTTATCCTCCATCGCCCGCCGCCGCCCCATCATGGACACGTGCCCGTAGCCCAAGTCGCCTAACTGGCTCCCCGACGACGGTCCGCCGCCGCCGCCAGTATTAGTGACCTGCTCGCCTCTTCTACTGCTGTTTGAAGACTCAGTAGAAGATGTCGACGAGTTCTGATCGGGGGCCGCCGCCTCGAGGTTCGACATCGCCGCCGTGGGGACGAATCTGATCAGTTGCAGAACCTGTAGCCTTCTCCGGCAAGATTTTCGTGTTTTCTTATTAGCGTGTAAAGCCGCCGTCTTTGGCTTTCTTGGACCTTTCATAGTGTTTGTTACTTTAACAGCTGTGTCATTATTTTTCCGGCGGGTAGTAATAATTAGTTTGAGTAAGAAATTTTGTTGTCCAGACTCCAGATTATACGTACACATATAATCTGCAAATCTATATATAGAGGACGGAGTGTCTAGGAGTTTTGTAGACAAGGTTCAATAAATTGGATTAAGTGCACCTATTTCAATTGTAAGTTGTAACAACTCGAACAAAACAAACTCTATGTGTATTTTTTTATAATTCGAAAATTCTAAATTTGCTAATGGAAAATACGCAATTTGCTACTTGTAACTTTAATTTATTTACCACTTCTGAAGTATTTTCACGAATTTTATGTCTAAATATTATCTAAATTATCCCAATTTTTGTAAAATAATCTTTTTTATTTGAAAATATTACATATTTTTTTATTATTTAATGTCTATAATCCTTTTAAAAAAATTAAAGGCGATGCCCCCGAACCCACGTAACGCTATACAAATTTTCACCGGCTCAAACTCTGGTGGTTTCATTGTGCAAATATATATCTTTGTTTTTTCTTTTTCATATATAGAGGCGCAAAAAGTAAAATTAACTTTTAGGGTAAATTACAACCACTCCCTGAGGTATCCCTGAGGTATGGTCAAATTACGAAAACCTTTGTTCATATTTTTTGTCTATTTTGAAGACATGATTTTTTACATTAATTCAAGATTGTGGGATGTTATTTGTATTTTTCAATTAACTAACATGAAATATTGAAATTGTGTTGAGCAAAAAGGTGAAAAATATGAAAATGGTATGTGTGGGATTATCACAGCTATATATGTAATGATGTTCGAAAAAGAAAGGGTTGAAATATGCAATATCGTTGACGATAGCGCATTGAAAGGCTAATTCGACCGAAATGAGGCTCGCTGGTTATTTACGCCGTGTAATTTTTTAACCGTATATATCTACATAAATAAACAATATTGGATAAGAATCTTGGATTCGCCACTTGGTCATGACTCTTGTTGCGGTGGCACAAGTACTTCTTTTAACTTCTTCTTGACATGATAATAACAGGCATGCAGATCCACTTTATAAATTTGAAAGGTCAAGGCGGCAGCGGAGCTCAGCCTTCTGCCGCCGTGAAGGCCGTAAAGGGAACTCCTCTGCTACTGGCGCATGCAAATACACACTTACCGCGCGTGGGCGGGAAATATAACGAAAACCACCGCTCAATCAATGGTTCTCCTTAGTAGAAACCAAAACGTTCTATAAAATTTTGTTCCCCTGCCTGCTGATCCGTGAATCAGTATTCAGTACAAACATTGAAGTTAGGAACTTCTTTTTTTTTTTTTTTCTTTTAGTTTTTATATATTAATTACATGCATGCATCTGAGAAATTAATTATAATATATATATATATATATAGTTTGAATAAAATGTCATGAATTAATGCATTATATATATACGCCAAATTGCTGTACAATATGCCAAATAATGCAATTTGGATATTTTGTTTTTTAGGGAATAATATCTACTTCTAGTTTATCCAATATGTAATGCATATATATCAATTGCATTATCATTTTGCATTGCATTTATATCGATGTTATCAGAATAGGACTGGACCGGCAGGCCGGACCGGTTTGACCGCGAACCGGCGATGAGGCGGTCCGATCTGACCTCTATAACTGGAAAATTCAAGAATCGGGGGTACATGATCAAAACCCGTGAATCGGTCAAAGAACCCGATTTTCGACCAAAACAACTCAAACCACTGGCGGAGTTGGTTATTTGTGGCTCGATCTGAGCGAGCCTTCAACGTAATTAGTTATGGATGACCGAATTTGGCCATGGGTGGTCGAATAGGGATGACGGATTGCCAGATTTGGAGAAGAAAAAATGGGAAAATATAAAGTGAAAGCAAAAGAAATATAGTAAAAAATATGATGAGGTGTGAAAGTAAAAATAATAGGACGAAGATTAAAAAGAATATAAAAAATAGTATTTTTAAAATATTAAAATTAATCAAACAAAATAAAAAGAAAAAAACCCGATTGAACCAGTTCGACCCTATCGAACCATGACCTGAATGGTCGTCGGGTTCTATAGCCGGTTCGGTTTTGACAACATTGATTTATATTTCATTGTTTTTTTTAGTAATCATGTTATCAAAGGATCAGTTTTAAATCTAAATTATTGTACGAAAAAAATTGAAGTTATAAGTTTGTATATAATAAGATAGATTAGAAGACTAAATTCTTAAGTAGGGTCATAAATTTTTATTTTTTTTTAATTTAATATACAAATAAATCAAGTTAAAATAAAATTTAAATACAGTAGAATAGTTTAGCCTATTGTTCCAAAAATTGAAATATACACGAGATTGGAGTGATGCCATAAACTTCTGTGCCCATTTGATGAGTATGAGAAACTTCATGTGACACGGTCAGATCAATTAATTACATGCATCCACATGCACAAATAGATATATTTAATTTATACTCATATGTTTATGCTGCTTCTTTCTTTTGTTTTTATATTTCATCAAAATATTTTTGTTTTCACG